CTAAACCCTAAGCCCTAAACCTTGCACCGTAAGTTTTAATCGGACGGCGCAGGCCAAGGTTTCGGATAGACCCCAAGGCTCGGACCATGAACCTCGAAGCTAAGGCTCTAGTTTAGGGTTTAGGGTTTACGGTTTAGGGTTTAGGGTTTAGGGTCTACCTTAAACTACCATAACCATACTTTTTTGTAGGTTCTTATTATGAAAGCTAATATAGAACTTATAGGGACCCTACAAAAAAGTTTGGTAGCTTAAGGTAGGCTTAAGGGGTTTGGGCTTGGTTTTAGGATTTAGGGTTTGGGGTTTAGGGTTTAGGCTTTAAGGATTAGCGCTTGGGTTTAGGATTGAGGGTCCAGGGTCCAGGGTTCAGAGTTTGGGGTTTAGTAATTAGGGGTCCTTATGGAACTTTTGTGCGACCCAACCCTGTATAAGACCATTATGGTATCGATATAAGACAGACACATATGGAACTGTCATGAGACCCATATGAAGCCATTATGGAACCGGTATAAGATCCTTATGGACCAAGGGAATTCTTGCAAGACCTTGACAGAACTGACAGAGCCCTTGAAATAGCGAACCGATCCACAAGAATTGGAGTTTTACGTCTATGGACATTCAATCCAAAACCCCTAAACCTCATACCCTAAACCGATGCGATGTGGTTGTGGGGTTTAGAGTTTAGGGGTGTAGGTGTTTCCAAAAGGTCCCGGCTGCATCGCCCGGCTCTCGCGCGCAGGAGGCGTGCCTGTCTGGCCTGAACCCGACCCTAAGGGTCTAAATGACCGAACAATCGGGTACTTGGGCTAAGCATAGTAGATCTTATAGTTTAGAGTTTAGAGTGTAAGAGCGTATATGTTTATCAGGTACTTGGACCCTCAGGGCTACAGCTACGGCCCGAAAATCCCAAAACCCGACAAGCTAACACCTTGCATTTCAGTCGAGACCCTGAAACCTGGCGTACTGAAGCCAGACATGGATAGCTCTCTCAATCAGGGTCTCACTTAGGGCGCGTTTTACAATGGTGGCGTCAAAAGGTAGGTCTTTTCGGCTACAGGAAAACCCTACAGCCACAAAAGCATCTGAAGCCTAAACCCTCAAACCCTAAAGCTGTCTTCGGGTGTTGCCGGCAGCTTCACGTCTCAGGTTTGGGCTTTAGAGTTTTTGTCAGATGAGTCTATACGGCACAAAGGCTCAATGTAGGGACCTCAAAACCACTCATGTCTAGACTGAATCTCTTATGCTTACACAGCCCCTGATCCAGGAGTTGTCGCAGGGTTCAGTGTTTAGGGTGTCGGGTTTACATAATTTGTTAAGAGCCCCATTCAAGGATCCTGATTGCAGTAAAGTCTCAGTTGAAGGTGCAAAACTGAAAGTGACCCTGCTGTAGCAGAGCCCCATGCTATTATTGCTTATGGCTGCGGGCTGGGTAAAACGAAGAAGGCAAGGCATCTACCATCTCCCCATTATACCCCAAACCCTAAGCCCTGCATAGCAGCTTATGTGAAGGTCTCCGTAGCAAAGAAGCCGCGAGACTGTCATGGGGAAAGCTAGGCCTCGAGTCCAGACTTGTAAACAGACCTGCTGCCAGGGAGGACCCTATACCGTAAAGCCTAAAGCCTATACGTCTTAAACCCTGAGTCCTTAACTTAGCCCAAAGCTCTCAAACCCCAAACCCTAAACCCTTAAACCCGAAACCCTAAACCTAAACCTCAACCCTAAAACCCTCCACCTAAACCTCAACCCTAAATCCTGAACCCTAAATCAGCTGAAACCCTAGACCCTAAACCTTTGAAGGAGACCCGAATTCGTGCTGGCGTTTATGGCTTAGGGTTTGGGCGGGCTTAGGGTTTAGGACTTAGGGTTCAGGGCTTAGGGTTTAGGGCTTAGGGTTTATAGGGCTCAGGATTTAGGACTAAGGGTTTAGGGCTTCGGGTTTAGGGCTTAGGGTTTAGGGCTTGGCGTTTAGGGCTTACGGTTTAGGACTTAGGGTTTGGGGCTTAGGCTTTAGGGCTTAGGGTTTAGGACTTAGGGTTTAGGGTTTAGGACTTTGGGTTTAGGCTTTCTGAGAATGTGCAAGGCGGTCGCGCCGCGGCAAGGGCCTTGGCATGGGTGGTCGAGCTACCCTTAGGCTCCAATGTAGTTCCTTCCTGGGATTACCATTATAGGATCCTAAACCGTAAAACTTGAACCACAAACAAGGACTACACTGGAGCCAATAGGTAGGTTCCAGCATCGGGTTTAGAGTCTTCGGGCTTGTTTCGGGGCATTGGGCTTGCGGTGTTGGCTTTGAGGTTTGAGGTTTTGGGGTTTGGGGTTTCACTTAATTACAAGAGAGTTTGGGATAGTTTAGGGTTTAGGGTTTTTCTGCTTCTGATTGGCTCGTCTTCTGGTGTGGATGCGAGGGTATTCTGCAATGCTTCTCTTGATACTGTCTAAGCAGCTACGTGCCATGGCCCTGCGGTCCTCGTTACAAACCCTACGGGGAGGTTCAGGACTTATTCTGAATTTGGAGCTTGACTGTGTAGAGTTCGTCGCAAACTGTCGGGCTCAATTAGAGAGTCGACTCTAAGCCCTAAACCCTACATGCTAAAGTGGGTGGACTTCAACAGAAACGGGTGCACAATCCAGCCAGCTCGATCCACCTGCCAAGTTCCAGTGGTTCTAAGAGCAAGTGTGGTGTAGTAATAGTAATATAGGGGCCTAAATAGTTGCCTATAGTATTTAATTGTTTTGGTGGCTCCTTATTATAACCCAAACCCGGTTCTAATTATTCAGGCCCCTGCATTAGTAGCTTTTTTTTAAACCCAGAGTCAAAAAAAAGCAGGCCACACACCCCCAGACCTGAACCCGAAGCCCCCAAACCCCAATATCCAATATTCCCCAACCCTATACTGTTGATGATATAGATCCTGCATTTCCCTAAACACCCTAAACTATGGGAATTATGTTACATTTCTTTTTATGGGTAATGCAAGATGTATGTCAGCAACCGTATGGCGCTCCTTGTTTTCTAAACCCTAAACCCTAAACCCTAAACCGTGGTGGTGGGATTTCCTAATGCTCTCCGGTTCGCTCTGATGTATCCTGACGAAAGATCCACAAGCAGTGCCCTGATCTCGCGAACTGCCCATCATACAGAACCCTAAACCCTAAACCCTAAACCCTAAACCCATTCCTCAGGGCTCCTTATTAAGACTCTACGATAAAGGAGCCCAGAACCCTCGTCTAATTATTCAGGCCCCTAGATTAGGCATTCTGCAGATGGCCTCCAATCCCGGGGACAGGCTCCGATGCCATTTCACTTCGGCTTAGGGTTTGGGGTTTTTTGCGGGTTAATTTTCAGGTTTAGGTACTTCCCTAATCTGGGGACCTGCCCTACACCCTAAACCCTAAACCCTTGCCAGTCCCGCTGTCTTCATTCATCAATGTGGGAGTTTCCGAAAATAGGGGACCCTAATATAGTACACCAAATAGTAGGATCCTTATTATAAGGACCTCCATAATAAGGTACCCCTCATTTTCGGAAACTCCCATGTCCCTTCAGGCCACTTTCCAAAGTCCCTACCATCAACGTGCCGCCCATGGTGACCATGGTGCCTGGCTTGGCCTTCTGGTTTAGGGTTTAGGATTTCGGGTTTAGGGTTTCGGGTTTAGGGTCTAGGGTTTAGGGAGACCAAACATGGTAGTCGTCGTGGTCGTGATTGTCGTGGCTGTCCTCGCGGTCGGGATCTTAGTCGTTGTCGGTGTCGTCGTCGAGGGGTAGCATCGTCGCCTCAGTACTTGGTTGCTGCTGTTGCTGCTGCTGATGGTCATGTTGACATTCATAAGTGTCAGGCGGACGAGGGTGGTGACGAGAATGATGCTGATGATGATGCCGGTTGTGATAAATGTGACGTTGGCTATGTTTGTGCTGCTGATTGCTCGCGCCCTGACAGCGATGTCGCACTCCGGTGTATCTTCGCGAGCTTTTTGCTTGCAATCTCAGAGAGGAGACCTTGGCAACACAATCCGAGTGTAGCTTTCAAGGCACCCTTCCGGGCAATGGCAGGAGAGGCCGCAACGATGCTGCTCACCCTCTCCCACTTACCCATGACGTCCTGCGATTCATCACTCGGGATTGAGAAGCGGCCCGACAGCCTTGATTCCTCTTCCAGCGACAGTGAAGGACCCGTGTCAGACCTAAATCCCCCCCAGGCGCCGGAACCCCAAACCCTCAACTCCATAAGTTTTTCCTTAAATAACCCTAAACCCTACCTAAACCCTGGATGAGGGCCCCAACCGACAGGAATCTACATCCCCGCAGACAGTGCTCGGGGCTCCACTCCGCTCGACTGGAAAGCATGGGGCACAGCGCTGAAAAAGGCTCCTCGACTCATGAGGGGTTTAGGGTTTGGTATAGGGTTCAGGGTTTAGGGTTTAGGGTTTAGTGTACAACACGGTCTTCAGGTGCACTCTCACCGCTTTGTAATTCATGTCTGCAGCTTTCCCAGTAGTACCCTTTTGCCATCTTTATTTTGGGGTCTCCTGATTGAAGCCGAATAGTAGGAACAAGGATACCCTTATTGGTAAGGGGCTACTGGTCCTCGAAGCCCTAAGCCAGCATGTTCCATGGGGCATCCAGGTTTGGGGAGCATCCGACTGGCGCTTCGGCGGTCGCGGAAGCTTGGGCATTGTGATCACGACCCCCAAACCGATGCACAGTGGCGCTGAATGTGACTTCGGGGTTTAGGGTTGTTGCTGTAGGACTTAGTATAGGGGCCTTAATAACTTCCTAGACCGTTTTGGGATTCCTTATTGTAATTACTTATCGCCAAAACCTTATTCTAGTTACTAGTTATCAAGGCCCCTATATTACTCGCCGACACCTGGACGGTTTGCGCCACAGATGACGCAAGACCTGTGTCCGGGATGTTTGAGACTTTTCGTTCCAATGTGGGGGTCCTTACAATAAGGCCGCCATGCAATACACTGTCGGAATTTCCATGTTTGGGAAAAATCATATGTACAGCTTCTCCACACTCTGAACCCCAAACCCTAAAACCTAAACCTAACCCCTAAAGTCTTGAGCATGTACTGCTTCGATTCTGTAAAGCCTCCTCCGAAGCTTTTGTTGACGCGCGCGTCCGAATTCAGAACTTCGGCCGTGAGTGAGCTTTGGGCTTGGGTCGTTAACTCGTGAGCCTGCTTCCCAGAGAGCCCAATACTGTGTAATATAGGAGCCAACATATCATTCTTTCCGGGTTGCTTAACACGTATCGTATTTATTATGTTATATGCCCCCAGAACCAACTCAAATTGCCATTCAGGCTCCTATATTGATGAAGCCGGTATTGGATCTCCTGGCTTTTGTATACGGCTGGATGACATAGCTTTATGTACAGACAGACCTTTTATGCTGTGAGCCGTGCAGCTGAAAAGGTTCGACAAGTCTCCAAGCCAACAATGTCTCTGCTGAGAGCAGCGGTGACGTTTTGGACCATGACCGTCACCAGCATCGGCAGCGTCGTCATCATGTTCACTATCAGGATCAGCGAGCATCGCCACTCTCATCATCGTCGTCATCGTCATGACCGAACTATACCCTAACAGAGTTTCCATCATCACCAGCAACAAGAGTCGTGTCATCGCCGTGCCGTCTCCTAGCCACCTTCATGGAGTGTTCATGGTCTGAACATCACCACAATCATAGCTGGACTAGCAGTCGTGGCAGCTTCCGTCGTAGTTCCAGCAGCTGTAGGGGTGGCAGTGAAAGTAGACGTAGTCGTTGTCGTAGTGGTCGAGGTAGTACTAGCGGCAGCGGCAGCGGTAGTGACAGTTGTCGTTGTCGTCGTAGCGGTAGCGGCAGAGGTAGTGGTTGTTATTGGTAGCAGCAGCAGTAGTAGTTGTCGTAGTCGTCGTCGTCGTCGT